AAAAAAAAAAATTAAAAATTAGTAACGACTTTTTCCATTTCAGTGACGATGTTACGTTATTTTGCATTTCAGGTGACGATATGTACATATGTATGCATTTTAATTAATAGATTATCTGCGAAATCAACTGTTTTGCTTTCAGGCATTGCCAATTAAATGAAAATTCTCACATGTAAATTACTAAAAATGTGCGGAAATCGGAAAAAGCACTTACTTATATTTGTAGTAAAATAATTTACAATTTATCGACAATAAAATCGGATTTTATTTTCCACCAGCACTACAATTAAATATGCAAATTTTGTAGATAGAACAACAAAGGCAGTAAAAAAATGCTCGTTCTCTCTTGTGTAAAATTAGAGTTTTATTTTGAGTAAATAACAGTTAGAGAATTAAAACTCGAATTCGGGTGGTTTATCGTAATGTGTCACATTAGAGCCCGAAAATCCAAGTTAAATGTACAGTAACTGTATAACGCGTATTTTGCTGTATGACCACCATATGAGATTAGGAAGATTTTTGTTTTAACTATGGTAAACTCATTTTAATTGCAGGAAATTCATTGTAACGCTCTAGCTGCTCACTGGGCGCACAGCTTTCTTCTTCACTTATTAACATGCTAATATTAGGCTATTGTTTTTAGACTGTGTTTTAGGGATGCTCGTGAAATACTAAGCAAAAATGTAATCACTAGATATTTTTTATTAATGTTAGAGTAAACTGGCCATATAATTAGCATCTTCTCTCACTATAAGGATTTTATCTTCTGAAGTTATATTATCGATGTCCTGCACTGTCTTGTAAAGTCAAAGAAAACCAGACTTTGCTAAAGTTTTCTATCTCTGCAGTAAATAAAAATTTCCTTATTAAGAAATCAAACTCTAAAAAGAATGTATGAAAGTACACGAGTGTTAAACATCTTTCTTCGCTCCTTAAATTCTGGCACACCCCAATGTGCATACAACCTAGAGACTTCATATTTTATTACACAATTCAAATTTCATTTACAATTTAAATTTCATTTTTCTTTTTTTCAGGAGGAATTATCAAATAAATGGGCTGAAATCGCCGGCGAAGTAAGCGTAGTACTCACCAGTGAACTCCAGTTGCCAGAGGACGATCAACCTTTGCCATTCGATGCGACAGCTGAAAAAAGCATTGACGATCAAAAGTAAGATATAATACTTTTAAGCAAATCGTTTTTATTACAAGCTTTTATTTAACTTCACTTTTATGTATGTATGTATGTATGTATGTATGTATGTATCTTTGTATGTCCATTTTTTTTGCAGTCAATATTTTATAAACTTCCTGATGAGCTACAGACTTGAAGCTTCAAACTTAGCTCAGAACTCGAGGACAATACAATTTAAAAGATGTTTTAATCCGCTAGGTGGCGCAGGAGTCGAGATATTTGTAAAACCCGCATTTATTGTCTGATTTGGTTCGTATTTAGAACATATATTACGTATATGAGAAGAAATAAATCCGAAAAAAAATTTGCCGATAGGTGGCGCAGAAGTCGAGATATTTGCAAAACCCGCATTTATAGTCTGATGTGGTTCATATTTAGAACATATATGACCTATATGAAAATAAATAAATCCACAAAAAATTTTGACGACAGGTGGCGCAGGAGTCGAGATATTTGGAAAACCCGTATTTATGATCCGATTAAGTTCACATTTAGAATGCATATTGCATACATGAAAAGAAATAACTACACAAAAAATTTTGGCAGTTATGTGGCGCGTGAGTCTATATACATAATTAAAAATTCGGCATATGTGCTCAAATTTGGTTTATATTCAGAATAGGTGTATTACCTATTTAAATTGAAATATATTGAAAATTTTGTTTGTTAAGGTCAAATGTAGTACAATATTAACTGCAAGATTTCAAAAGACTAAAAAGTAGAAAATAAAATTATAGTTAAAAAACTAAAAACACGCTTTTATTACAACAAGAACTAAAAAGTATAAAATAATTTGTAGATATAGCGATTCCGTTTAAGAAAAATAGGAAGTTCCCTAACCTGATTTAATTTAACTGTTTTAAATTAGCTAAAAATAGAATTAAAGTGATTGACCCGTAGTTATAGTCAAAATAAAGTGCACTGTAAAGTCTGTTGCAGTTTTTTTTACAGGTATCCCATTGAAAGTTATGCCAAAAAGCTGCAACTAACTTTACAGTGCATAAATATATAATAATAATAATATTATAAACTAATAATATAAACTAATAATATTTTAAACCCGCAAACTACTGGACATGTAGTCGTATGTACGTACATAGCTTTAGCCAATCAGCTATGGCAGATCCCTACATGATAAAATTCCCTCATTGGATTTTTCACCATGAGATTCAGGGGCTTCCGATCGAATCTGGGATTGCCACAAAAATCCCATTTCCCTCCGTTTTAAAGGCGGTGGAATTGTGGTCCAGCGCACCCTGTATACTTACCTATTTCATTGTGAAAATTTATAAAATTAAATTCCTTTTATGATTCCATTTGCATTTCTTACTTGCCAAGTTCAGGCGCCACTTTGTGTAAATGTAGCAGGTAAATGCTATGCACATACGTATATGTATCCCTGTGTACAAATTTGTATGTATTCACATACACCATGGCGGATATGTATGTACATTAGGAGGGTCGAAAAAAAATTTAAAATGTTAGGTTCTCACCCTCTACGATTTTTCTAAATACCCTTATTTTCTTGTTAAAAAAAATTATATGAACTGCCTCAAAGTCCATAAAGTTTTCAATGATTTTACCGTGCATATATGGTGAAAAACACTTTTTCGTAGCAATGGTATAGAATTCTTGAAAGTTTATATTTCTCGATCGGAAAACTTTGATGGTTAAATAAACAATTGGGTATCGTTACTGGCAAGTATTCTAAAGAGATAAATATTGATTTTCAAGAATTCTATACCATTTCCACGAAAGAGTGTTTTTCGCCATATATCAAATATAAATATATTTTTTTTTTGTAAAAACTAAAAAACACAGGTATGCATTTTTAGACCACCCTAATGTACTTAATTTTAAATACACTAGGCGGCAAATGAAAGTGTTCACTTTGTTCTAATATAGAATTCACAATTATTATCATTAAAATTTTGTTACATTAATTACACTGGTTTACAGCAAAAATGTTCAATGGATGCTACGGTCCAATTCCTATAAACCGATTCCGAAAATCGGCTTAATTTTTTATTATATTTATATGTTTTCGAGATATTTTCAATTTACTTGTAATTTATCTTCTGCTAAAGTCTTATTTTGTTTCATAACAAAAAAAACTGGAATGATTAATTAATTTGTCAGAAAGTGACGTATAGACGGTTTCTGTAAAATTTTGTTAGCTTTCACTTGTCGTATTCCATTTTCAGTTTGTTAAATTGGTTCATGAGATATAAGTCATTAAGTGGGGCCACCCTTTGTTTTAAGCTGAATAGCGGTAAATTAAAAATAACTCGAAAACGTATCCATAGAATAAAAAAGTAACTCGATTTTTGGAATCAGCGGAGGATTCAACACACAAATTGGATAGTGGCGTCTGGAGAACAAAAACCATATCAAAATTTGTAATCCATTGTTTTTTGTGAAAATATAGTTCATTCATTAATAAAAACCATAAAAAACAAAGTTTCACAAAAATCACAAAATCGAAAATCAAAAGTTCACAAAAATCCAACAATTTTCGTCAAAATTTTCAACTTTTTATTCAGGTATTCTAGAAAATTTTCGGGTATGCAGTTTTCACAAGTCGACAAAATAAAGTGTCCATCTTGTTCTAATATAATATTCACAATTATTTCCATTAAAAATTTGCTGCATTAATTATACAAAAATCCAAAAATTTGTTATACAAATTTTTAACTTTTTATTCTGGATTTCTATAAAATTTTCGAGTATGTAGTTTACACTAGTCGATTAAATTAAAGCGATTAGAATTTCTAGAAAATTTTTGGGTGTGCAGTTTTGTAGCCAATTCAATTGAAGTGCAAGTTTCAACCGGCTTAAAAATCGCGTTGATTTTTGAGATTTTTTTTTTGGACTGCTGTTGTGTTTTTTTTATGTAGCAAGTGCAATTTACAAACACTGCACACGGTGGGCAGGAAGCAAAGATAGGTTGCATAAAAATGTCGATAAAAACTGAAAGCAGGGTTGTATTTGTTGATATTTTTAGGTTAAGAATCCGTTTGAATTGAAAT